ACTCGCCAGGTTCGGCGATTGCGCGTGCTTGCCTCGTTCCTCGTTGAATTATCCATTCGCAACGAGTCAAACCAGAGATAGTCGTTCGCGCCTCAATGGATCGCGCGATTTTTCCTTCTGCTCGTGTTGTCGGATTTTTCGAAACGTATCGCGAAAGACTCGAACAGAAAGAAGCGAGCAGAATAAAACGGTCAACAATTAAAAATATTATTTACAGAAGTAACATGTTTTTATCGAGTAAAACGAATTGTCCCTAAAAATTATGCGCACCGGAGCATGCTGACAACGGGTAAGATTCTCGGGGGATTGGCAAACAGGAAATCTTGGCAAGTTGTCGCTGTTATTGCCTCATCCACGTCCGTCGCGCAATTCGGCAAGATTGTTTTTTTTTTACCAGAAATGAGAAAAGGGTTGCGGACGACTCGCGCGAAAATGACACTCGATTTTGTGTCAATCAAATATTCTCGTCACCTTATTCAATTCCATTCGAGAAGCTCCATTTAAAAGCCGTTTATAACTGCAAAATGCATTGCTATTAAAATAGAAATTATTTTTAAACTAAAAATTAACTGGAGAATTATCGAATCTAGTAAACTGAATCTAAGTAATAAACTAAAAGCATTGAACTGAGCTAAAAAACTTTCAAAAATTTAGTTAAAATGATTAAAAGATTTATCATATTACATTGCAATAATGTTGATTTCGAATTCGATTAAGAAATATGGAGTTATAGCTATATAGTCATATGTAATTAAATTTAGAATATTAAATATTCACATATTGTGCATAATCATAACGTAATTTAAAATAATTTGTCAAATAATAAAATTAATTTGTCAAATGTTGAAGAAATACTTACAATGTAGAAATACTTCTTCATTGTCCATTTATCATTGTTAATTTAAATATAGTACTAATCAGTTGCTTACGTAATGTAATAATAACTAAAACTGCAAATTAATTTACATTTAACATATGCTTCAATAATAAAAAGGAATATAAAAATTATGTAATATGTAGAATTATAATTTTCAGTTAGAAAAAGGAAAGAAAAGATATCTAGATATTACAGTTAATACTGTACTTTTATACTGAGACATTCAATTACACTATTTAATCAAAAATTACTTTTTTAAGCACAAAAATGAGAATAAAACTGTTTCCTGTAGCTTTTTGAGCATCGAATATGACCACGAAAAATTTGCAATTAAAGTTGCAGAAAACGACTATTGTAGTATATTTGGCATAATATAATTACGATATGTGACATTGGAGACGTTTCTTTATATTTTTTTATCATAATTAAGTTGTCAGGACTTTGAGTATTCCTTAAAAGGAATTTGTCATATTGATTATGATGAAAAAGATGTTGATGATTAACATAGTCTATTCAAACTTAAGAGTTTTTCAGGTCGTTGAATACTAATTCGATGCCAAAGTTGATAAATTCAAAATAATGGAGCCAATGTAACAGATATGAAAATTTCATCATTTGTTCATTTTTATATAAATCGCTACAACAATCGACCCTGTAAATCCCTTTTAAGAAATGCTGAAAGTTCTAACAACTTATTTAATTTCGATTGCAATAAATCTTGTAATACCAATACATAAGAAATATATCCAATATATCAAAATTATAATATGATGTGCCAAGATACAGTACAATAGTCCTCTTTTACAAATTTAACTCCAAATTTCTAAAAATTGTTACGTGACAGAACAATTTGATAAACAAAACCGTATTCATCTAAAAAGCTACGATTATTTCTGTTCTTATGCATTTTTTTAGCAGTATTATAATCTCTAATTTGCATTTATTTTGATATTTTGTATTGTTCTAATTATTGTATAATATCTTTTTTCTCCATCTTTTTCCGAGTTAAAGACGGTTTGAAAGAAACTTCTCGACGTCGAAATCGTTAATTATTCGCCATATATCTCGGCAATAAAAAAGTTTCGTTCTATTTTACCCCAGGCTCTTTATCTATCGTAAACATAATCGTCATTTTCCGTTCGAGGCGTCCATTATACTGACAACGGGCCGTGCGAGCTTTCCCCGACGATCGTAAGTCCATCGTAGCAGACATCGTATTGTGCAGCCGTTAGCAAATACTATTTGGTACATGATCGCTTTTGCAGCAGGAACTATTTCGTAGCAGTAGCGCCGAGAACCACTCGCGATAGCGTCGGCAATGTTTTCGATGCAATCCCCAGGGCGTTTACGCGTAAAATATAATAATTCACATCTACATGAATGCAATGTAAACTATGTTTAATGAATCATGTAAACAATAAGGAATCCTGGAGCAATCCAAAGTTTTACTTTTAATTTTTTCTTCGCTCAAAGAGATGTTTTCAAAAGGGCAAATTTGTTCAATGGATGACTACTGGCTGAGTCGATCATCAAACATTCAAATGTCATTAAAAATATAGGAAATTTATGTTTCGTTTGCGACTTTATTTTCAGTTACTCTTATTTAGTTTGGGCACAATTGTTAGCATACGACGAAAAGTTATTAAATTAGATCAGCAAATAATAATATTTCAATATTATTACCTTATCTTTAACAATTAGAATAATTAGTATCTTTTATATCAGTATACAACAAATAAATATATTACTAACAATTAATAAATATAACAAAAAAACACTTGATTTCAGCTAGGTTAAAACTAAGACTGTTTGTAAAAATATAGTTCAAAAGACTTGATAAATTAATCAATTAATTAATTTGTAATAATTTATATTGTTTATATTGGCTACATGAAAAAAGTTCACGTAAGCATAAACAATTCATGTAGATGGAATCTTGAAATTTACGGCACAACCCTGGCTGTTTCATTATCGCGGAAAGATTCGATAATATTCAATTCACGATTCCCAAGAAAGAACTCGGTAACTGAGAACGACGCTAAAACAAGACGACGATCCGCGGTATCGTCGGCGAGTTCGATTGAACGAGCCCGAACGTTGAAGGCGGAATGTACGAAGGCTCGAAGATTTCGCTATCAAGATTCAATTTTGACGAACAAAGTTTTACTTTTTTCCTCTCTCAAAGAAATGTTTTTATAAAAGAGCAAATCCGTCCAATAGATGTCTACTAACATAAAACCTTGTCCACAATGCTAGAAATTTGTCCGAGATCTTGTGCATCTTGTGAAAAAAGCACAAGTTGATTGGCTACATATTTCTCGCATCAAGATCTCGGGTCGATTTCGTGGACACAAGGCTTAAGAGTCAGTTTCCAAATTGTATTCACCGGGTCAAACTACGAGAGTCAATTTAGAAAAATTTCAAAATGTAGTACAGATGGCACTGCACTCGTATAACAGAATTCGCTGGATTTTCATATGTCGTACGCGACAATTTCAAGCGCGTTGATTGGCTGCTGGGTCCAAAATTTCTAGATACTCGAGAATTTCACTATCCTGCAGCCAATGAACACGTTTAAGAAATTTGTCGTATGGCAAATGTAAAACCACTAGCCCCGTGCATTCGTTCGCGAACACGTGTGCAGTTCGAACTCGTTCCATCAAACGCGAAACTAGACGAACGACTCTTGAGTACTGTTCTCGACACAATGGTAAAAATCTCGCTACACGCGGCCCGACCACCGACGGAGGAAAGACACAACAACGAAACCCAAGTGGCAAGCACAGAAACGAGCGGAGAGTAGTTTGATGGCGCTTAAGCGTGGATTGAGCAAAGCTCGAATGTTCATCGAGAGAGTGCACCCTGCGGAGAGCTGCGAGTCGGTTGGTAAAAGTCAGTCTTGTGTTGAAGGATAGTGTCTTGTGTTGAATCGCGCGCGTGTAAATCTATATAACCCCCCGCGCGATGAGGAACCTCACGGAGGGAGTCGCTTAATTAACTATCGCACGATTAACCCTCTGGCTGCGGCGTGTGAGGCTGCTTTCTCAAAATATCCAAGATGGATCTCTCAATTCTAGCTGGATGTACTGCTGCATTCGAAAGAAATCGATGTATTTGTATCGATCGTTTTATTCACAAGGAACACATCACAATTGTCCGAAACTGATTTGACTCTCCTTAAAATGTCTTGTTAAATACCGTAAACGAGAGTCACTTTGTGACTAGCGAGGTGGCTTCGTGATACGCCGTGATTTTACCGTGTATCACACAGCCACTCCGCTAGTCGCAAAGTAAGCTCACTTACGGTACGAAAAGAGACATGTATTTCTTTCATACATATCCATTTTAAGGTTTAAGAAATGAAACAACCTCTCAGAGTTACCGATTTTTTAAAATATTAGATTCTTGCAAAATCACAGAGTTATAAATTACATAAAAAATTATAAAAGTCTGAAAGATTTGTCATGTATCTTATTATTTCGACGATAACTGCGTAGATTCCGTTGGAAGCGATAGGAGATCGTTCCGTCCCTTAAACATCAAAATAAGTACGCTTCAAAATGTATCTCCTACATTTCTTTACTTAACATATTTCAAGAAGAACCAGCTCGATTCCGGAGAATTGCGGACATTAATATCCCTCGTCAGTTAGAGAATATACTAAAATCTTTACGAATATTTGGATTTACCATATATGCGGCTGCGTGGCACGAAGGCGATAATGTTGACGATAGAGTCAGCCGACATTTTAGACAGATTTGATGAAATCTCTTAAAGTGTTTTCAAGATACCCAGCAAAAAGAAATGGGAGATATCTAAACATGAGAAATCTGACTGAACGTAAGAACTCGGACATCGCTGAGATTCACGTCTCATAATCAGATATACTTTGCTACGTGTGGATAATTGGCTGAATGATCGCATTGGCGACGTGTGTTCGCGGACCGGGTCGGATTAATAAAAATCAGTGACCGATCGCGCGTGCGTACGAGGTTCTCGCAGCCAAAGGACTAATCGACCATCCGCCTTCGCGGGCAAAGGTAACAAATGATCAATCATCAATCATCGCTTAACATCAACATACAAGAAACGTACCGTCTCAGCCAAACGATTCCACTTAATCCTAATCGGAACCGTTCTGCTGTAGCAACGCGGGCGCCGATTGCGTTGGTTGCGGCTGCATCGACGACTCCTGATGATGGTGGTGGTCAACAATGGGGGACGGTGTCTCGCTGGTCTGCGAGTTCGTCAAATCGCCACCACCGCCACTGCTGCCGCTTCCGTCCCCTCCCCCACTTGCTACGCACCCGCCCCCGCCCCCGTCCGGGTTCGCGGACGATTCGAACGCCTTCTGCTCGCTCGGGGGTAACATATGCACCATATTCACTGCCAGAGGGTAAGATGCGGCAGCGTATTCGGCCGGATAGAAGCTCTGCGGCTGCGGCATGTTACTGCCAAGTAGACCGCGATGGGGGTATCCGCCGTTGTCCCCCGGATGCTGCAGCGGCAATCCGGCGAGCCCGTGGCTCATCTGCGCGGACTGCTGGACGGGCTTGATGTTATTGTTATTCATGATTTCGGGGGTGCTGGCGCCGGTGCAGTTCCTACGTAATTGCTCGAGCTTCAGACTCTTACCGTATTTACCACGTACGTACATCAACAAACTGTTGTAGGGAATACCAAACATACGACTGGCTTGCGACGTCGTCAGCTTTTTTTCCCAAACGTGTTGCAAAGCAAGCGTGAGTTCGTTATTCGTCCATGACCTCGGTGGTCCTCCTCGCGGCGCGCTGTGTTGCCCCTTCGGCCTATTGACCGCGAGTGCACGAGTATTGTGATCGTTCCATCTGCGTGGCGCGTCACTATCACTTCGATGCTTCTTGGTCTTTTTCGCGGGCGGAGGGCCGAGACTGGGAGTACCGAAGAGATTTTGCAGCGCCTCTGGCTTGAAATTATCCGTGAGGAGCGAATCCGCGAGGAGGTTACCTCGGTCGTACGTAGTGGCGTGGTGCGAAAAAAGTCCACCACCTAGAGCCGTCACGCCGTCCAACGTTGGCGTGAACATCGCCATCGTGCTACGCCGTGGCAGTGCAGATTCTTGTGGCTGCTGCTGCTGATACGGATGAGATCTACCGGAGCCGTGCGGACTGTCCTCGCGTGGATGGTGACTTTGGGCCGACGGGGGCGGCGGCAGTTGACTCTGCGGATGCCCGGGCAGCCATTGGCTCGTCAACTGGCCGAGGCTTGTCAGGTACTCGGGGGGATGCGATTGCGACAGTGACAACGTGGGCATCGTTGGTAGCGACAACGCTACGGTCGCCACGGCCGCCGCCACGGCCGCCGGGATGTCCGGTACAGGGCCGTCCGGATGATGCAACAAACTCGTCCCCGTGAGGGGCGAACCGCGTGGACTACTCGTCGCTTCGCTGCCCTCCGTCTTCACGTGATGCTGATCCAGTCCGCTCGGCGAAAGAGGTTTCTTCATCGAGAGGTTCTCCGCCATGTCCTCCTGCTGTTGTTGTTGCTGCTGCTGCTGTTGTTGGTTTTGTGCGTTGTTAATCGCCTGCTGCTGATGGTACTGGGATTGCTGCAGCATTAACTGCTGTTGCTGCGCCTGGTGCTGACTACCGCTGAGATTAAGAACGCTGGCCAACGGACTCGAGCTGATCGGTGGGGTCAAGCGTCTGCTCAGATCTTGCGGCAGCATCTCGCCAGACCGTCGGCGCGGCCGCGCCTGCTTCCGGCGGGGCATCGACGGCGAGCCGCAACTCTCGCGGATACCAAAGTTCATGTGGCCAATGAGCGGCTTGGCCGGATGGTCCCTCGTTGGTTGAAACAGGATGGGTTTCATCTCCCTCGTGCTCTCCAGCGCGTTCTCGTCCTCCTCGGACGTGCCGTGTCGCGCGACTTCCGGCGTCGGTAGCTCGGCCAGAATGAGATCGCGCGTCGGCGTCGATGCCAACGACGACGGCCTGGGTTCTGTCGACACCGGCCTCGGCTCCGACGATGACAGTCCGCGCACCTGCAGACACTCCGCGGCCTTCATCAGTCCCGGTAACTCCTCCTGGGCGATCTGCACCTCGCCGCGATATATAAAGTGCACCAAAGTGGAGAGCTCGTGATGCGAGAAGTCCTTCAGCACGATCACGGGATGCTTGCATGGATTTTCCGCGAATATCCTCTCGAAGAAAGGACTGCAACATAGGGAAAACGACTCTATGATTAGGATTGGGACACCTCTTTCCACATTTCACCGGAGATCATTCCAGAGAAGCCATATTTCGTCATTTCGTACGATCCACACTGATTTAGCGCAAACTACGCGCTCAGACAAATTTTGCACCGCGCGCCTTTTGTTTCGTTACATGCATCTCGGTGTGAAACGTTGCGTATCCTCGCTCAGCAAGACAGAATGACGGCCAGAAACCGCGGGCAAAAAGCCACCGCAAGGATTAGCGCTCCTTCCCCGATCGAGCGAATCAATCAGATGGTACAAGACTTTCGCTCGTTGTCAACTTTACGTCACACGTCTCGCGCGAGAAGCGGGAAGAGCGTTGCGGTGCGGGGCGGCACTTAGTCGCCCGGTAAACCACGAAGATAAGAAACAAACGAAGGAATTTTTCTTCGGCTGAGAGAGAGAGAGAGAGAGAGAGAGAGAGAGAGAGAGAGAGAGAGAGAGAGAGAGAGAGAGAGAGAGAGAGAGAGAGAG